TACAAATGAGACCTCCAACACTTACTGGCTGTGTGACCCTGGGCAAGTCACTTATTTGCTTATCTCAGTCTCCTCAACTATGAAATTAGGATAATAAAGCATCTACTAAGCAGGGTTGTTGTATGGGTCAAATGATGTGATATTTGTAAAGTGCTTGGTATATAAATGCTTATTCTCTTCCCCACCTAGCTGGAGCCTTAACTACACCGTGCTAAGTGCTGCAGATAGAAAGGCAAAAGAATATAGAGAACTAAGTCAAATGTATAAGAATACAAGTCATTCCCCAATTGATAAATGATCAAAGAATATGAACAGGAAGTTTTCAGATGAAGAATTTAGAGCTATTTATAATCATGTGAAAAAATGCTCTAAATCGCTATTGATTAGAAAAATTCAAATCAAATCAAATCAAAATCTGAGATATCACATCACACCTATCAGATTGGTTAACATGACAAAACAGGAAACATGATAAATGCTGGAGAAGATGTGGGGGAAAATGGAACACTAATGCATTGTTGGTAAATTTGTGAACTGATTCAACCATTCTGGACAGCAATTTGGAACCATGCCCAAAGAGCTATAAAACTGTGCATACCCTTTGATCCAGCAATAGCACTTCTAGGGCTATATCCCAAAGAGATCAAACAAATGGGAAAAGGACCCACATGTACAAAAATATTCATAGCAGCTCTTTTTGTGGTGGCAAAGAATCGGATATTGAGAGGATGCCCATCAACTGGGGAATGGCTGAGGAAGTTGTGGTATATGAATGTAATGGAATACTATTGTGCTATAAGAAATGATGAGCAGGCAGACTTCAGAAAAACCTGGAAAGACTTGTATGGTCTGATGCTGAGTGAAGTGAGCAGAACCAAGAGGACTTTGTACACAATAACAGCCACGTTGTGCAATGACTAATACTGCTAAACTGAACCCTTCTCAGTATTACAAGGATCTAAGACATCTCCAGAGGCCTCGTGATGGAAAATGCTGTCCACATCCAAAGAAAGAACTATGGAAGTTGAATTGCTATCATTTTTTTTCTCCTCTGTTGAGTTTTGTTTCATCTTTCTGATGGTTCCTCCTATCGGTTTTAATTTTTACTTACAACTTCACTAATGTGAAAATATGTTTAATGGGTATGTAAATGTAAAGCCTGTATCAGATTGTGTGCCGTCTTGGGGAGGGTGGGGGGGAGGGAGGGGGAGAAAAATTTTCAACTCAAAAGCATATGGAAGTGATTGTTGATAAATCAAAATAAATTAATAAAATTTAAAAAAAAAGAAATAATGAGCAGGAAGACTGGAAAGACTTATATGAACTGATGCTGAGTGAACCAGGAGAACATTGTACACAGTAACAGCCATGTTGTGAGATAACTTTGATAGACTTATCTCTTCTTAGTAATGCAAGGATCTAAGACAACTCCAAATGACTTATGATGGAAAATGCTATCCATATCCAGAAAAAAGAGCTATGGAGTCTGAATGCAGATCAAAGCATGTTATTTGCTCTCTCTCTCTCTCGCTCGCTCGCTTGCTCTCTCTCTCTCTCTCTCTCTCTCTCTCTCTCTCTCTCTCTCTCTTTGTTTCTTCTTTCTCATGGTTTCTCCCATTAGTTCTAATTCTACTTTATAACACAACTAACGTGAAAATAGGTTTACTATGAATGTATATGTTGAACCTATATCAATTTACATGCTGACTTGGGGTGAGGAAGAGGATAGGGAGAAAACCTGGAACCCCAAAATCTTATGAAAGTGAAGGTTGAAAACTAAAAAAATAAATAAATAAGTGTATAAAAAAAAAAGAAAGAAAGAAAGAGAGGCAAAAGACAATCCCTGCTCTCTAGGAGCTCACAATCTAATTGTGGAGACAACTTGCAGCATGAGATAAATCCAAGATCGTTTCAGAAAGAAGGCATTAAGATTAAGCAGGACTGAGGAAAGACTTCTTGTAGAAGGAAGGACTTTAGCGGAGATCAATAAACATTAGGTGTTTATTGTGTGTGCTAGGTGTGCTAAGGTGTGCCTGGCATTGTGCTCAGTGGTGGGGATACAAAAAGAGCTGAGACTTTAAAAAGCCAGGAAAGCTAGGAGGCAGAGATGAGAAAAGAGAGCTGGGGGCTGGGGTGGGGTGGGGGCGTTGGCAGCCAGTGCCGGGAGCTGAGAGATGGAATGTTGGGTGTCAGAAAGAGCCGGGTGGTCAGTGTCACTGGATTGAAGAGTACTTGTGGAGCAATAAGATGTAAAAAGACTGAAAATTCAGTCTGGGGCCAGGCAAAGAAGAGCTTTAAATAGTGAAAGGAAGATTTTATATTTGCATATTGCACTAGGGAGACAATGTCACGTTCAGTCACGTCTGACTCTTTGTGATCCTCATGGGCCACAGTACACCAGGCCCTTCTAATTCATGTTCGTTACTTTTATGACACTATCTATCCATCTCATCCTCTCCTGTCCCCTTTTCCTTTTGCTTTCATTTGTCCCCACCATCCAGGTCTTTTCCAATGAATCCTGTCTTTTTGTTATGTGGCCCGAGTAGTTGAGCTTCAGTTTCAGTATTTGACCTTCCAGTGAATAGTCTGAATTAATTTCTTTAATTGATTTGATGTCTTTGCAGTCCAAGAGACTCTCAAAAGTCTTCTCTAGCACCACAACTCAAAAGCATTGATCCAGCTTTCTTTGTAGCCTGGCTCGCATCATCACATAATACTACTGGAAAAACCATAGCTGTGACTCTATGGACCTTTGCTGGCAAGTTGATGTCTCTGTTTTTTACTCTGCTATCCAGATTTACCACAGCTGTCCTTCCAAGGAATATGCATTTTTTTTTAATTTCATGGATGCAATCACCATCTGCTGTGATCTTTGAACCCAAGAATATAAAATCTGATGCTGCTTCCATTTCTGCATTTGCCAGGAAGTAATGGGACCAGTTGCCAAGATCTTAGTTTTTTGGGAATTAAGCTTTGAACCAACTTTTACACTCTTCTCTCTCACCCTCGTCAAGAGGCTTCTTAATTCCTCTTCACTTTCTGCCATCTGAATGATATCATCTGTATATCTGAGCTTGGTGCTATTTCTCCTGGCAACCTTAATTCCAGCTTTTGATTCTTCTAGGCTGGCATTACACATAATGTACTCTGCACATAAGTTAAATAAATAAGGTGGCAACGTACAGCCTTGTTGTACTCCTTTCCTAACCTTGAACCAGTTCGCTGGTCCATGCTCAGTTCTGACTGTTGCTTCTTGACCTGCGTATGGGTTCCTCTGGACTGATGACCGCTGGGAGGGTGAGATGCTACCTGTCTGCCCATCTTCTGATTGGTTGATGTGGTAGGTTCAGGACCAGCCTCCCTTGGAGGGGTGGGTAGTCCTAGCCTCACTCCCCACCCCCTCTCCCACCTTCCACTTTGGAGATCACTGCCTTCATGCAGCTGCAGACCACCAGCTCTAACTGGTCAGACTAAGATCATTGAGGAGCAGGATTTTATTATTCCCTTTTTACAGATGAAGAAACTGAGGCTTGGGAAAATTATTCCCATTGGAATATAGTAGGGTGCTCAAAGACACCACAGTGCCATCTAGAACCCTTCTCAATCTCTTTTCATCTTGAAATCTTTTCCTTTAGCATCTTTTCCTTCAGCTGGGGCAGCTCACTGAAACCTCAGACCCCCCTGGCACACAGGACCAGAGGAAGTTTACCTCCTGCTTAATCCCCACTGATACCTTCAGACCTTTCCTCTTCTTCCATCACTAAATAACCCACTTCTTCTACCTTCCACAAATCTCTCAAACATGCCCTCTTCTTTCCTCTGACACTGCTGCTGTCTTGGTGAGGGCTCTCATCCTGAACTATTGCAGTAGACCCCAATGGATCTCCCTGCCCTATCTCCTCTCCACTCCAATCCATACTCTACTCAGCTAATCGAGCTTGATAAAATATAGGTCTGACCAGGTCACTCACCTCCTCCTTATTCAATAAACTCAAGTGGCTCCTTTCACCTCCAGGATCACATATAAAAGCTCTCTTCTGTTTGGTGTATCTGGCCCCTTCCTACCTTTCCAGTCTTACCTAACTCCCATTCACTTACTGTCCTATCCAATAATACTGCTGTTCCTTACACTGGACGCTGAGTCTCTGGACTCTTGACCTTTTCATTGGTTATCTATCCCCTATGCCTGGAAGTCTCTCCTTCCGCATCTCCACCTCCTGACTTCCCTGACTTTCTTCAAGTCCCAGTTACAATCCCATCCTCTATAGGGTGCTTTTCCCCATCCTCCTTAATGTTAGTGCCTTCCCTCTGTTGATTCTCTCCAATTTATCCTGTCTATATCTTGTTTGTACATAGCTGTTGACATGTTGTATCCTTCATTAGACTGAACTCCCTGAGATCAGGGACTGTCTTGTACATTTCTTTATTTCCCCAGCCCTTAGCACATAGTAGGCACTTACTAAATCTATCAGGCAGCCAGTAAATGTTTGTTGACCAACTCCTTTAAAATTTATTCCATTTTCTAGATCATCTTGTCATCTGTCAACCTCCAGGTCACTCTCCCTCCTTTCTAGTAAGTCCTTATCCTGGGAAGGAGGGAAGAAAGGATGGAAAGGAAGGAAGGAAGAAAGGAAGGAGAGAAGGGAGGAAACAAGGAAGAAGGGATGAAGGGAGGGAAGGAAAGAAGGAAGGATTGCTAGTCTACAAATCATGGACTCATAGGTTTAGAACTGGAAGCCATCTTGGAGTTCATATTTATATGATATCCCGGCCAGGTTACTCCCTCCTTTTGTAGATGAGGCTTTAAGAGAGGTGAAGCAACTATCTTGGGTCAAATAGAGTTGAACCAATACTCAAACCCCTGTTCTTGAAATGCAGAGTCAGCCCTCCCAGTGTCCCATTGTATTAGCTCTCCCCCAGTGATGAGCACCACATCGAGGTAAACTTGGTGATAGCTCAATGAGGCAAGCTAAAGAAATACAGGAACAGGGCTGTGAGCTGCACTTTCAAATTTTATTTAAATTCTGACCCATGCCCTCCGAGGGAGTGAAACAGTGAATGTTGGTGCATTGCATTCTCTCCTACTGGCTTTCTGTTGGACTCTCAAGGTTGCTATAGGTAAAATGGTTTCAAGGGTCCCCATCGCAAGGGGATAGGTTTCATATCTGAAGGGAATTGTGTGTCAGTCAGTTCCCTGTGTCCACCAATCTCAGGAAGCAGATAATTAAGTTCCAGGGGTTTCAGAAATCTCTTAAACTGATACCTAGTTTTATATTCTGGGATCTTTTTTGGGTCCAAGGAAGGATAGTAATCACTAGGGCAGATTCTGGGCTGTGCCTGAGGGACCTTCTGGGCTAGTTCCTGACAGAAGGCACAGGGCCCTAGGTCTTTTGCTGTCATTTGAGGATCCCTGAAAGCTGGGTATCCTTTCATCAGCATCGATGTAGATGGGGCAACAGGTGGGCAAAATTCTTTCTGCCGTAACTGGGCTTCAATCTTCCGTTGCTGTGGAGCCAAAGCAGACACAAGTCAAGGGCTGAGAGGAGGAAGAGGTCACCTACTTCACATTTTTTTCCAGGTCCCACAGTTCATTTGTCACCCACCTTCTTGCTGTTCCTCAAATGCAATGGTGCATCTCCCACCTCCAAGTCTTTGCTCTGGCTGTTTGCTATGCCTGGAATCCTTTCCCTCTTCACCTTTGCCTTCCTTTAAGACTCAGTTTGAATCCCACTGTGGGCAGGAGGCCTTTCCTTATTCCCTCCCCCACCCCAGCTGCTCACTCCTTCTATATGAGATTATGTTTCATCTATTCTTTATATATCTTGTAGGTACCTGGTTATTTACATGATATCCTGCCCTGTAAAATGGAAGCTCCTTGAGGTCTTTGTATCTTCAGTGCTTATCACAGTGCTTGGCACAAAGCAAGGGTTTCATAACTGTTTGTTCACTGACTGACTGACTGACTGAGCTTAAAAAGGGAAAGGGTCCTCTCATAATGGAAGCTCCCAAGCCCTCCAAGAATCTGGCTGACTTTTCTTCAGAAAATGTGCACCTTGGTTTCCAAGGAGGAAAGTGTAATGGTAGAACTACCAATAGTCTTGAGGTTTAGATCATCTTGCTCTAATTAATTAGCTATACTCTAAGTTGGCTAGGTCATTAAGTTTTCTGAGCCTTAGTTTCCTCATCTGTAAAAGGAAGGGTTCAGCCAGAGGGTTAATTTCCTCCCTCCATCAATGCAAGTTGGCACCTTGTCCACAGCTTTAGAGAGCTTCTAGAGTACAAAGAGGTTAATGAGATCATCCAGCTAAGGTGAGTCAGAGAACCCAGGGTCTTCCTGGATCCACAGCAAAGCAAAAATTGTCTCTGCCCTCAAGGAGCTTACAAATTCCAACGAAGAAAGCAACATATATGCAAATTGGTGCATACAATATAAAGTCAAGATAGCAATAACAAGGATAAAATGGAAGGAATAAGCATAAGCAAAGAAGGAAAAATATGATCACTTATTTGTAGATGATATGGCTCATTTAGAGAACACCAGAGTAAATTAAAACATCAACACCATTAATAACTTCAGCAGAGTTGCAGTATATGAAATAAATCCACCTAAATCATTAGCATTTCTATGCATTACCAACAAAACCCAGCCAGAAGACAGAGAAATTCCATTTAAAATAACAACAGCATATATACAATATCAAAGGATCTACTCACTTTCACGACACACATGGAAACTGTATAAATATAATTATCAAACACTCTTAGTAGAAATAAAGACAGGTCTAAATAATGGCAGAAATATTTATTGTTCACTAACAAGATGAACCAATATAATAAAAATGACAACACTATCCAACTTGATTTGTTTATTCAGTCACATCAATTAAACTACCAAAGGATTAATTTGGAATTCTTTTTTTTTTCTTTTTGGTGAGGCAATCACAGTTAAGTGACTTGCCCAGGGTCACACAGCCAAAGCGTTAATTTGTAGCATGAGGAAAAAAAAAGAATAAAATTATCTGGATGAACAAAAGGTCAAGAATCTTAAGAAAAGTAATAAAAAAGAATTAAGTAATGCTAGGAGCACCAGATCTCAAACTATATTACAAAGCAACAATCATCAAAATGATTTTGTACTAGTTAAAAAATAGATTGAGCAGTGGAAGACATTAGGTATACAACATACAGAAACAAATAAACCTGATAACCTATTGTTTGATAAACCCCCAAACACCAGCTCTTGGGTAAGGATTTACTGTTTGTTAAAAACTGCTAAAAGACCAAACTAAAACAAAATCAGACAGCGGTCTGCAGAAATTAGGCTTAGACTTTGCATAATTTCCCAAATTAGCTCCAAATGGATGTATGATCTAGCTTTAGATAGAAAATGTCACGTGATTTAAAAAAATCAGAGAAACAAGGAAGACATTTTATTTTGGATCTATGGATGGGGAAGAGTTCATGATCAAACAAGGGTTAGAAGGGATCACAGCATATAAAATGGGCAATTTTTATTACGTTGAATTGAAATAGCTTGCACAAACAAAACCAATGCAGCTAACATTAGGAGCGAAACAGCTAATGTGAAAAAAAAATCTTTGCAGCAAGTTTCACTGATAAAACTCTCATTCCCAACATATATAAGGAATTGATTCAAATTTATAAGAATAAGACCCGTTCTCCACTTGAGAGGTGGTCAAAAAAATATGAACAGGCAGCTTTCAAAGGAAATCCAAACTGTCAACAGCTATATGAAAAAAAATGTTTCAAATCACCACTAATTAGAGGAATGCACATTCAAACAACCCTGACATTCCGTCTTACAACCATTAGATTAGCAAATGAGAAAAAAGGAAACTGGAGGAGCTTCAGAAAAAAAGGAACACGAATACCCTGATGCTTGAACTGTGAGTTGTTCCAGCCATCCTGGAAAGCAGTTTGGAACTATGCCCCAAAATTTACCAAACTATATATGTTTACTTTCTGACCCAGCTAAATGATGAAAGGGATGGAAGGGTGCAGAGAAACCTTGGAAGGAAGGAGAGAAGGAGAGAGGAAAGGAAGAAAGGAGGGAAAGGAGGAAGGAAGGAAAGAAAGAAGGAAGGACAGAGGTATGGAGGGATAGAGGAATGAGTGAAAGATCTGCATTAGTTCATGCAGAGTGAAGGAAACAAACCCAGGAGAACAATTTCTACAACAAGAATATTGAAAAGACAAACAACTTAGAAAGACTGATGAACTCTGATCAATGCAATGATTAATTTCAGAGACCAATAATGCTACCCACCTCTGGACAGATGGGTGATGGACTCAAGATGTAGAATGAGACATTTATTTTCAGATATAGCCAATATGAGAATTTGTTTTGTTTGACTATGTATATTTTTCATGAAGGTTTTTTCTTTTTCTTATATTTTTTATCAGTAGAGGAAGTGAGACGGAGAGAAAATAAATGCTTGTTAACTGAAAATTGTTTGAGGTTAAAAAAAAGGTAAACCCAGAGCAGTTGGAAGTTAACTTTTGAAAAGAAGTCATTAGTAGAATCTAGGGGATTGGGAAAGGCTCCCTGCAGAAGGTGGCATTTGAGCTAAGTCTTACAGGAAGTCAAGGATTACAATGAGAAAATTTGTGGTGGGGAGGACCTTCCTTCCAGGCAGCGGGAACAGGCAGTACCAAAGCACAGGGATAGGAGATGAGGCACCATGTTCGAAGAACGGCAGGTAGACCAGTATAGCTGGATTATAGACAGCATGGAGCAAGGAGACGACAATTTCATTTTTATCCTTGTATCTCCACAGTGCCTCACATATAATGGCATTTTATAAACGTTTGTGGATCAACTTTTTTTAGTCTTTTTAAAAATATATTTATTTTTAACATTACTTAACTTAAAGGAAAAAAACATTCCTTACCTACTTACACTTCCTTTTTTTGTTTTTTATTTTGAGTTCCAAATTCTCTACCTTCCTCTAGTTTCTCCCTAACCATTAATTGGGGAATGACTAGACTAGTTGTGGTATGTGATTGTGTCGGAATACTACTGTGCTGTAAGAAATGGTGAGCTGGTTGACTTTAGAAAAACGTGAAAAGATTTGCACGAAATAATGAAGAGTGAAATGAGCAGAACCAAGAGAATGTTGTGTATAGTAACAGCAATATTGTTAGAAGAATACTGTGAATGATTAAGTTATTCTGAGTATTATAAATATTCAAATCAGCTACAAAGGACCCATGAAGATGCTATCCACCTCCAGAGAAAGAATTAATAAATGGAAGTATGCATAGTATGGTTTTATACATACACACACATACATGCAGGTAATCTGTGTCAAATGGTAGAATATGAGAGGAAGGGAGATAGTTTGGAACTTAAAATATAACAAAAAATAAATTAAATTTTAAAATTCTCTTAAGATTAGAATTATAAAAAGAAGATGAATAAAATTATATCATTATAGATGTGAAATCATGCAAAGCATATTTCTGTATTATCCATTTTGCAAAAAAAAAGGAAAGAAAGAAAGAAAAAGAAAGGAAGGAAGAAAGAAAGAAAGAAGGAAAGAAAGAAGGAAAGAAAAAGAAAGAAAGAAAGAAGAAAGAAAGAAAGAAAGAAAGAAAGAAAGAAAGAAAGAAAGAAAGAAAGAAAGAAAGAAAGAAAGAAAGAAAGAAAGAAAGAAAGAAAGAAAGAGAAAGTGAAAAAATGATCCTCCATCACTCAGAATTCACCAGTTCTCTCTCTGGAGGTGGATGGCATGTTTCATCATGAGTCTTTTGGAATTGTCTTGGATCCCTGTATTGATCAGAATAGTTGATCATGACCAACTGATTCTAGTATAGTAGCTCTAAAGTTGAATTAAGCTATTAACCTGTATGTCATGATCTGGGTCTAAAGGGCCTGGAACTTAGAGTTCTGAGACCCAAATGGCTTCAACTTTCATGCTACTTACCATGTGATCTGGGGCAAATCAACCTCTCTGGGTCTCAATTTCCTCCTCCATAAAATGAAGGAATAGTACTAGATGTCCCTTGAGAGCATTTTCAGGTCTAAACCTTGTATCCTTGTGACATTTCGGCTCTTTGCCCCTCTAAGCTTTGTGGTGGGGCCCCTTCACTGCCACCTGTCACAGACTCGGAGACCAAGCTCATCCTAGGCATGAGAACATCCACTAGCTCTCAATTTGGGTTATTTAGCCTTGCTGCCCATCCTGCTCTCCCCTGCCCTTCTGTTTCTTTTTCTTTTTTTGAGGCAATGGGTTTAAGTGACTTGCCCAGGTTCACACAGCTAGTGAGTGTCAAATGTCTGAGGCCGGATTTGAACTCAGATCCTCCTGACTCCAAGGCCAGAGCTCTATCCACTGTGCCACCTAGCTGCCCCCTGCCCTTCTATTTCCAAGGCTCTGGACTTGTTACCCTGTGACTCAGCTGGGTCCTTGCACCTCAGTACCAGTGGATTGGCTTTTAGCTTGACCTCTTGTGCCTGAGTGCTTGACTTGGCTTTCTTCCAGGTACCCTAATTCCTTCAGGGCTGTGCTGCTACCTTGTCTCTTTCCCATCTTTCATTTAGAATTCTGTCCCTGAACCTCAGCTCTAAGGTTGGAATAGAAACGCCTTGAAGGCAAGGATTTTTTTCCTTTTTTTGTGTTGGCCATTTTGTGCCTAATGCTTAGCACAGTACTTGGCGTTGAGCGGGCAATGATGGGTGCCAGGATGCTGGTGAGAACCTCCACTCGTTGGCTGTGTGGCTCTCATTTGGTCACTTGTCCCATCCTTAGAGCTTTCTCTGTCCCCTGGTTTCCTCTCAGCCTGCCCTGTTACTGACCAAGCCTCTCTCCATTATGAAGAATATGTGGGAACGCTATGGCTCCTGAAATAATCCCCAGTGTGTGTGTGTGTGTGTGTGTGTGTGTGTGTGTACGTGTATGCACAATTAAGTTCTGTGTGCTACCGAAGTACACTGCCCAATGCCACAGGATGGTGGTCTGCAACATCCTCCTGTTCCTAATGAGATGAAAATCAGATAGCTATTTCAATGAAAAAAGAAGAAAAGAAAGGCTAGGAAGGGGGGGGCGGGGCAGGGGAACCAGACCCCATGGATGTTACATGTACCTCCTCAGGATTTTCCAGATGGGGTGTGTAATTGCTGAAGTCCTTGTAGTCGGCCATGTAGGAACTTTTGTACATGCTCAAAACCAGAGGTGCCTGCAAATATATAATAAAAATATAATTAAAGAAAGAAGAATGCCATCTGATGGGCTCCCCAGAACTTAGTGCCTGGCACATAGCAGGCAGTTAATAAATGCTTATTGATTGATTGGAAATGCCAACTTTACTTGCTGCCAGATCAGACTTTTATTGTTATTGTCAGTACCTCTTTGCTGTAGACATGGCATAGGGTAAAGACTTCCCCATTGTGAGTTCTATATTCCTACCCTGGTCATTTAGTAGCTATGGGGTATTAGGGAAATCACGTGATTGCTCTGGGTCTTAGTTTCCTCATCTGTAGAATGGGGAGAATGTCTGTACTATCTATCTCACGGGGATTGTCGTGAGAATTGAATGACATAACAGATATTAAATGTTTGGGAAACCAGAAGGCACTGTAACAATCCTTTCTCCTAGGCCTATTCCCTACGCATGAAGGCAGCTTACGGCTCAATGGATAGAGCACCGGCCCTGGAGTCAGGAAGACCTGAGTTCAAATCCAGCCTTGGGCACTGCCAAGCTGTATGACCTTGGGAAAGTCACTTAACCTCTGTCTACCTCAGTTTCCTTAACTGTAAAATGGGGATAATAATAATAATACCTTCCAGGGTTGTTAGGATCAAATGAGATCATAATGATAAATTGCTTAGCCCAGTGCCTGGAACATAGTAGGTGCTATATAAATGCTTATTCCTTCCTTCCCCACCCCTAAGAAATAATTTCTACAGTGGAAAAAGCACTGTATTTAGGCTCAGGAGAATTGGGTTTAAATCCTATCTCTGATACTTGGGATCATTTATTTATTAATTAATATTTATTTATTAGCTTATGTTGGATTGTAAGCTCCCTGAGGTCAGGGACTGTCTTTTGCCTCTTTTTGTATCCCCAGTGCTTAGCACGGTGCCAGGCACATAATAGATGCTTCATCAATGTTATTGAACGATTGATTATAACTGAAAGGGACCTTACTGATCCAATCCAACCCCCTCGTTTTCTAGGAAATGAGACCAAATGACTTGCCCAGAGTCACGCAGCTAATAAGCCAGAATTCAAACTCAGATCATCTAATTTCAAATCCATAGTTCTTTCCACTATTCAACTTCTTATGGGCTGATTTACCATTGGCAAGGCCATCTACAAAACAAGACTACTACTTACAGAGTGGTAGCTACAGAGCTGGCCATGGAGTCAGGAAGACCTGAGTTCAAATTCTGTCTCTGACAGGATGTTGGCTGTGTGACTCAGGCCAAGTCATTTTATTTCCTGGGGCTCTAAGCAATTCTCTAAAACTACATTTTGCAAAATAAGGGAAATTGCTTTCTGGGGGAAGAGAGTGTCCCTGTATTAATGAAGTCATGGCTCTAGAGGGGGGGAGATAATCATAACACCTACTAGTGGTGTGCCTCTGGCAAATCACTCAACCATTCTGAACCTCAATTTCCTCATCTGTAAGGGGGATATTAGCAGCCCCTGTATCACAGGATTGTTGTGAGGATCAATGGGCAATATCTATGAAGCACTTTGCAAACCTTCAAGTGTTATATAAATGTGAACTATTAATATCTACTAGTCCAACACCCTCTTTTTACACATGAGTAAACTGAGGCCTGGAGAAGTCAAGGGATTTGACCAACATCCCCATAATTAAGTATTAATTTCTGCCTCGTATTTTACTGCCTAGTATAAAATGTACCGATTATATATGAATGCTTCAGGGTCCATTGAAAGGATTAGGTAAGAAGCTAAGCTATGTCCCAGTGAGCAATCCCTGAGATGTTTAAACAAAAAGGAAAGGGAAGTCCTGAAGGCTCACCTGGCTGGGATACAACATACCCTCCATGATGTACAGGAAACCCTAGGAAGAAGATAAGTTAGATATAGCAAGTGGGTAGATGCCAGGGGTTGAGGGAAAGGCACACACTGACCCAACTATCACAATCGAGCAAACCCTCCCTGACTTCCCCATTTCACTGTCTACCTTTCCACCACTTCACCGATCAGGCAAAGGGAGAAAGTCCAGGCAGGTGGGTGGTCAGCCTCAGTGGAGCAGGCAGAAGGAAGGAAGCTAGCCACAAGAACTTGGGACTCAGAGACAGACCTCCAGTCCTTGGAAGGCCTGGGGCCAAAGTGATCGGTACTGGGGCACAATTCCAGCTCTGGGATCAGAAAGTGGGATGGTAGGTTGAAAGCCCTTCATCTTGAGTCAGCTGATGGCAACAGTAAAGACTGGTGTGGAGACAGACAGCTGAATGGCATGTGGGCAGTGACCAGGGAACAAGGAGATATGACACAGGTTTGTTCTATGTAATACTGATGCTGCCCGTGTAATCCACCAGTAAACCAAAGTGCTAGAATGGGTGTTAGTAGGCAGAGCCAACCAAACCAGGGATCCCGAAGAGACCAGGCCTGGAATCAGGGCTCAGCTGTAGGAGAACCCCCATAGAAGGAACGTCTGCTTCTGCGGAAGTCTGTGGGCAGGTGGGAAAGGCTACCTGGGTGGCAGGTTTGACTGCTCTCCGAGGGGACTGTGGTGTCTGTTGACCTCAGGAGGCTGTAGCCAGGACAAAGACAAACAGAGCCCTGCACTGTGACATCACACAGAGAACATAACCGGGGGCCAGACCCCAGAACCATACATAGCACTGATGGATAACAGAGGGTTTTGGTGCCATGATAGGTTCCCAGGACCTGGAGCCTAAGCAGCTGACAACGAACGATGTATTAATTACTCCAATAAATCCCTTTTCTCTTCCTCCCTTTACTTAATTTGAAAATACTGGAAAAATACGAAGCTACTAAAACAAAATTAAACTGAATCATAACTACAAACTTAGCCTGATGTCATGGACTTTTCCTTCCTGTTAAATCTAAACAGGCTCAGATAAGCTTTACTGAACACTTGCCCGTGGCTTCTTTCTCCCATGAAGGGGCACCCCCTTCCAATTTTTGTGTTGATGTATAAAGTGAATTCTCCTTCAAGGTGCCCCCCAACAAAGAAGCCCAGGTGACCTCATTAATGCTTGTGAGCCCTTCAAATTCCTTTCAGGTCTGTTCTCCAGTTTCACTAGCCAAGGAACAGAAAAGCTACATTTATTGGTTTTACATTTTATTTTGGTTTTACATTTATTTACCTATTTATACTAGCAATAATATAATAATATGTGATATCATGATATAGCTATAGATATAGATATAGATATAGATATAGATATAGATATAGATATAGATATAGATATAGATATAGATATAGATATAGATATAGATATATAATGTATAATGGCTTAATAACTCAAAAGTTTACAAAGCACTTTACAGATGTTGCCTCGACTGATGTGATCTGCTTCTAAAAAGTAAGGCAGCAAAAAAAAAAAGGTAAGGTAGCTGACAAAATTCAAAACCTGTCTATGAGAAAGATTGATAATAAAAACAGTGGAAAGTGAGGACATGTCCATCAAGTGGGAAATGGCAGAATAAGTTGTGATGGGAATCTTACTGAGCTATAATAAATGACAAGCAGGTTTGATTTTAGGAAAACATGGAAAGATTTGGATGTAGTAATAAAATATTTTTTAAAAGAAGTAAAGCTCTTAGGTCCTGGCAGCAGGAAGATGACAAAGAAAATGTCTTCCAGTGTTTGGTAAGTGCCAGAATAAGACACACACTTTGTGCCATCGTTGTGGTTCTAAGGCATACCATCTTCAGAAGTTAACATGCGGCAAATGTGAATGTCCTGCTAAACGCAAGAGAAAGTATGATTGGAGTGCAAAGGCTAAGGGATGCTGGTACCGATTGAATGAAGCACCTGAAAATGGTCTATCGCTGACTCAGGAATGGATTCCGTGAAGGAACAACGCCTGAACCCAAGACAGCAGCTGTTGTAGTATCTAGTTCATTGTGAGGATTCAACCGTTTGTTAAAATAAATATTCTGAATGAAAAATAAATAAAAATAAAAAAGAAGGAAAAGGATTACAACAGAGGAGAGTGGAGTTCCAAGCATGGGGGTGAGAACTCATGGAGAATGTAGGATGGGTTTGGGCTCAAGTGCTACTCCAGTTGGGCTAGAATGTAGAGTGAAGAGAGTAGTAGGAAATAGGGTGGAGCTGTGTGATGATGATGGGTTTGTATTTTATCTGATAGGTAATGGAAAGCCATTGAAGATTTTTGAGCAGGGGAGTGACCATAGTCAGGCCTTTGGTTTAGAAGGATTATTTGGTAGGGATTTATTTAAGAAACTATTACATTAGTCCCAGTTAAAGGTGATGAAAGATTGAGTCGGGGCGGCGGCCATGTGAATGTAGAACAATGGAGTGGATAAGATATAATGGCAGCCTTGGCAAACTGTGAGGGATAAGGAAGAAAGAGGCAAAGATAATTCATGGTGCTTCGTTATTGTTCATACACTTTCAGACAGTGTTGTGCAGCAGAAGTATATCAGTTATTTGGGAGGTTATGACCAAGTGATTTATCCTCTCTGTGCTTCTGGGTCTCATCTGTTAAAAGGATGTGAAACTATCTGCTCTCTTTTCCTCAAAGGATTATTTCCAGACTCAAACAAGATAATATTTATTAAAATACTAATAGCTCACATTTAAAATATCTCCCTTTTCCTCCTCTTCTTTGCAGAGGTGGGGGCCTATGGGTGTAGAACAGTGCAGATGCTGCTCCACTTGTTTGGTGTGCTGGTTGATTTTCTCTTATTTTAGTGTTCTGTGTTATAAGGAATGGCTCTTTGGGGGAGGGGACATATTAAAAAATAAAGGTTGTAAAAAATATATCAATAAAATAAAGATATAATTTCTAAAAATTTTAAATAGCACAAAATGGAGTTTTGCATGAATCTAGGATGTTTGCCAAAGTTTAGTACCTGGAACACCAAGAGTCAGTTAGAATCATCATAAGATGTTATTTCTATGGAGTGTGTGTGTGTGTGTGTGTGTGTGTGTGTGTGTGCGTGTGTGTATGCAATCCAGGGAACCTGTGATGCCCCAGACCGAGCCTTCTCCCATGGATCTTGATATATATTCTGGACCCTTGTTGAGGGACATATGCTTTTCCGTAGTAAATCAGAAAAGTGGCACAGTGCATAGAGTGCAGGGTGAGTGAGGAAGGCCTGAGTTCAAATCCAGCCTCAGACACTTGCGAAGCTGTATGACCCTGGGCATGTCATTGAACCCTGTTTGCCTCAGTTTCCTCATTGATAAAATCACCTGGAGAAGAAAATGGCTAACCGCCCCAGTATTTTTGCAGAGGAAACCCCAAATGGGATCGCGAAGAGTCAGACACAACTTAACAACAATAACAACAGTTTGAGGGAGGGTGGTGACTGGAGGCTGAGCATAGGGAGGAAAGAATTGTTGATACATCCCCTCCCTCTCACCTCACTCCACTCCTGAGCCTGGGGCCTAAGCAAGAACTGCTGTATCCTCCAGCGAGGTTCCTATCCCTCAGCAAAGAGACAAAGCACAGGGCCAGCTCACCTGAAGGTACTTTGGCAAACCAGGGCTTTCTCTTCGTTATTCTCAAGCCACTAATGGAGAGAATCTGTGGGGGTCACTTAGTTCTACTGCTGTATTTTGCAGAGGCTTTCAAGAAGCTATGGTCTGGGGGGGTTGATATGACTTCCCCAAAGCCACCCAAATTCTCCCCATGGAAATATTTGATAGTCACCATCTTATTTGTCCAAATCAGGAATTTTCTTACCCAATGTTGCCTTGCTGTGGGCTTTCATCCCTCATCCCTCCGTCTCCCTCTCCGTCTCCCTCCTTCCCCTCTCCTGAGGTCCTGAGGAAGGGAAAACTGGTCTAGAAGTCCATTATGTGCCTGAAATTAAAGTTGTTGCTGATTTTAAGATGGAGGCTTCCAGCCAGAGGCACTGGAGTACCGAGGGATGAGTAGGTGGCAACATGGAATCTGCTTAAAGAAACTGGCTTCAGGGAGCTGCTTCCTCCTTAAGACATCAGAGCAATGCCTTGCTTAGAACACAAATTGACAAAAAGGCAACCTTAACCATGATGGTGCAATGGTTAGAGCAGTGGGCTTGGAATCAAGAAGACGGAAGTTTGAATCCTTTCTCAGATGCTTAGTGGTGTGACCCTGGATACTTAATCTCCATGACCTTCAGTTTGCTCATCTGTAAAGTGGAAATCATAATAGCACTTAACTCACAGGGTTGTTGTGCTTTTTATGCCTGAAAACATTACATCTTAGCTCTTACAGGATCTCAAATTTGTTTTTTAAAGAGAAGACAGTCTGCAAACTATAGACCAGTAAATTCTACTTTTACTCCTGGAAAAGTTCTAGAGCAGGTTATTAAGGGGATGGTTAATGATCATGTGGAAGGAGATACAGAGGTCACAAAAGCCAGCATGACTTCCTCAAGAACAGGCCAGACCAGGACAATCTACTTCGACTTATTGGCCTTCCTTCTTGAAGAGGACCAAAACAACATCACTGTGCTGGAGTCTAGTAACAGTATGTCTGACTGGCTGATCAGACCAATACAGTCTTGGAAAGCTTTACCACAGGTCTGGCACAAATAGTCCATGTGAACATTTGGGCTGGATTCTCTACATTTACACGTCTCTCATTTCTCGTGAGCTACTTCCGTTCTGCTTTGCTCTTAGAGCACAGCGCCTTCTCTGATGTGGGCACCCATGCTGAGGGGTCCTGTGCTAGTGTGTTCCATGTTACACAATTGATTCCAAAATTCTTAAGAGCTGGAAGGAGAAAGGCCTTGGGCCCTCCTCGCCAAGGCTCCCATGTGGCTCTGGTTCTTTGCCTGCCTTGGGCGTGTTCTTTTATTTGAATTGAAAGGAGCATCCCAGAATCTGGATTTTTTCAGCCAGTTCAGCACCAATGGCCAGAGGAACAAGGCATGACCCCTAGGCCTCAGCCCAGGGTAATTCAGACCAAGATTCACCCAACATACCTGTCTCAGTTGGTCAGGAAATTAGTGGGACCAAGATTATGTAGGCACTGTGTTGAGTGAGCCTTCTCTCCCCAGAGATAAGGGGAGATATGGGATAGGGAAGAGTATGTCCCCAAGGCACTGAGGGGAAAGTTTGTATGATTGCTGATTTTATAACTTTGAAATAAATGCCCCTTGTAAAAGCTAATTGATTTCAGTTGGTTAAATGGAGCATTCCTAACTGGTAACTAACAGTGGGGGGACATGGTGGGAGCTCTATCCAATGTCATTAGAGAAAGAGAGATTCCCCAAACCTCTCAGGGTACCCTAGGACCCTGAGGCGGAAATACAGCCAGCCAGGTCCTGGGATTGCAGGCCAGAGCACACTCATAATATGATGTTTCTCCTTCTGGAGTGGGGCAGTAATCCAATCACTAAGTGATGGAAGGTGGACCCAGAAGACCTGATGACCACGAACCTGGAAGACTAAATCCTTGAACCTTTGAGGAAGTGGAGTTCATGGTAGCCTTTTTATCCCAGAGCCCCATCTGGGGGGGCATGGGTCACATTGGCCATG